CTTTGCTTAGATATAACATTTGAGGGGTCTTGAATAAAGTTTCCTATAACTGTGACATTTCTTAGCAGGGCAGTGGGAAGGTATTCAATGTTACCTTTAATGTTCTGTGCGATGCTGCTGCTGCAGCAGCAGCTTAATTCATCCTAGAACAGCTCAGTGACATTGGAAGTCTGAGGCCATGGCTGTGGGGAGATCTCAAGCACTCCAGCTCCCATCAGCCCTAGCCAGAATGGCCAATGGTCAGGGATGATGGGAGTTGTAGTCCGACAGCATCGCCCTGCTCTGAAGAATAATCCAGTGAAGGGCTGCAAAACGTTCACCCACAGAGAGTGACCATCTTGATCAGGCAATGGCTTTTAGGGGAGGGGAAACACATTAGTATCCTGCTCGAACGCTTCAAGGTTAAACCTTGGCTTTGAAAACAAATTCCACAGCAGAATCTTGGCTCAAATTAAAGCCCTGAAAATGGCCCAAGGCCTCTCTCCAAACTGCATGATGCTTAAAAAAATAAAATACAGTCTAGGCCGTAGATGAAGCTTCTTTAATGGCTCCACTGTATACAATTATCTAGTCTCCAGCAGCATCCCTAAAGCAGATGTAATTAGGGATCTTCGGAGCCAAGCTGTGCATGGTCTTAATTACAGAACCAACATGGGATACTTATTTGTTCCAACAGTTTAAAAGAGAAGAGAAGAGAAGAGAAAATAATCTTTGGGGACACATCTAATTGAACAGAAAAGTTATTTTTACACGCGGCTTGACTCGAGAAGCACGCAGCTGGTGGGGCTGCCTCGAAACGCAATGTTGGGCCTGCCGTTTGGGCGGCAGCTTCAGGGTTTGTTTCCCAAAACAAAGAGGGAGGTCTGACGCGAACCAACCTGAGGGACGCATAGGGACTTCTGGCAAAGAGTTGCAGCATTGAGTGCTCCTGCTCACAGGGCCAGTTCTGGGCTCCACATTTTAAGAAGGATGTTGATAAGTTGGAACGTTGGCAGAGGAGGGCAACCAAGATGATCAAGGGTCTGGAACCTAAGTCTTGTGAGGAGCTGGTATGTTTAGCCTAGAGAAAAGGAGACTGGGATGAGATATGATAGCCATCTTCAAATATCTTCAGGACTGTCACATGGAAGATGGAGCAAGCTTGTTTTTTCTCCTGTTCTGGAGGGTAGGACACGAACCAATGGCTTCAAGTCACACGAAAGGAGAAAGGAGTCACACGAAAGGAGATTCTGAGGAAGAACTTATTGGCACTTACTGTTTCACTGTGGAACAGTCTCCCTTGGGAGGTTGTGGACTCTCCTTCCTTGGGGGTTTTTAAGCAGAGGTTGGATGGCCATCTGTCATTGATGCTTTAGTTGAAATTCCTGCATTGCAAGGGGTTGGACTTGGGGTCCCTTCCAACTCTACAATGTTGTTGTTTAGTCATTTAGTCGTGTCCGACTCTTCGTGACCCCATGGACCAGAGCACACCAGGCACTCCTGTCTTCCACTGCCTCCCACAGTTTGGTCAAACTCATGCTGGTAGCTTCAAGAACACTATCCAACCATCTCGTCCTCTGTCGTCCCCTTCTCCTTGTGCCCTCCACCTTTCCCAACAAGGTCTTTTCCAGGGAGTCTTCTCTTCTCATGAGGTGGCCAAAGTCTTGGAGCCTCAGCTTCAGGATCTGTCCTTCCAGTGAGCACTCAGGGCTGAGTTTCTTAAGAATGGAGAGGTTTGATCTTCTTGTAGTCCATGGGAGTCTCCTCCAGCATGGAGTCTCCTCCAGCCCCATGATTCAAAAGCATCAATTCTTTGGCGATCAGCCTTCTTTATGGTCCAGCTCTGACTGCCATACATCACTACTGGGAAAACCATAGCTTTAACTATACGGACCTTTGTTGGCAAGGTAATGTCTCCGCTTTTGAATTCCCAAGTCATGTTATAATTTTTAAAGCACTCCCCATTTGGGGAATTTGAAAGTTGAAAAGTTCGACACAACGCTACAAGCAGTAATGCTTCTGGATATCAGTTGCTGGAAACCTCAAGAGGGGAGAATGGTCTTGAGACTGAATCCTGTTTACAGGCTTCCCATAGGCATCTGGTTGGCCAAGGTGGGAACGCAATGCTGGACTAGATGGGCCATTGGCCTGATCCATCAAAACTCTTCTAATGTTCTTATATTCTTGACGTCGTCATTTTGTATATCCGTCACAATAGTCATTGAGAGGTCCCTCCGTGTATTTGACGTGCAGCGTAAATTAATAATGCAGAGTTTTTAAGTGAAAGAATAAGAGCTTTACTGAGTTAAAATAAACTTCTTCATAAACAACATGGTTCCAGACAGTTTGACTGAGATTACATACTGACTCTGCTCACAACTGAGGCAGACTGACTCTGACTGAAAGCTTACAGAGAACACCGAGAAAATGGCTGCTACTTATAAGGAGAATGAGTCACATGTCAGAGTGACTCAACAGTTAGCAATTAGGCCTGAATAACTTTAGTAGGCCCAAATGATTGTGCAGTCCCAGCACTTCCCAGCCTGCTTTGCTGCTTCTGCTCTCATGTTTCTTTGCCCCATGACAGAATTAAGGGGGCAGTTCACCGTTCATTCACTGTGCCCATATTCAGTCTGAGAGACTAGGGCTGAAATAGAGCTTGAAAGACCTTCGTGTGTATACAGACCACAACCCTTGAAACTTAATTTGGTCCATTGGTTCCCTTGCTCCAGAAACTAAATGAAGGGCAGGATCCAAAGATTTGGGCATCCAAGCTCTCTTTGCACCCACAGGGGCATTGGGCTAGTTCTCAAATAGCACGGCAGCCTGCTTTTGAAACCCAGGATGCTTGCCAAACCATTTTGTGATATGGCATGGTGGAATATATAAGGTTACCCAAGTTGTGTGCCACCCCAACTCTCTGCAAGATCCCAGGAGGTTCCAGGTGCTCACCCAGTTCCTTTGGAGAATTGAAACACACACGGAGACTGTCGTAGCCTTAAGAAAAATGGTTTATTCACCTATTTACACCTTCAGTCTGCATGGAGGAAGTCGTCCAGATCTTACAGCGTGGTCATTTCAAGAGGAGCTCGTTCACCACAGCAGTGCAGCCAGCCTTCAGCCAACCTGCCTAAAATGGATTCCAGACTTCTTCTCACCTCTTCTTCTTCCCAGAACCCCTTGTTAAAAAAATATATCTTTATTTTCCTGCCAGTTCAAACACACACACCCATCACCTTGGCAACATCCGTCTCAGGCCAAAGGATTCCTCTCAGGTGGACCATCAACACCTTTTGTCATGTTAACAGATCTGCTCTTCACTAAGCCAGCCCTGGGATTCCTTGTTTGGCACAGTTCTGCAACTTGTACTTTCATTCATATCCCAATTAATCAAAAGACTACCATTTATTAATTTCTAGGGTTCAGGGGGTCCTCCCAATCTACAACGACCACAACAAAACTTTTTTGAGGGGAAATTGCCCAAAGTTGTTGAGTTGTTTTTTTGGGGGGGGGGGAGACTGCCCAGTTATTGAGCTTCTATCTTTTGGGCGGGGGGGTCACCAGCGCCAATAACTGTACAGCCTGCAGGCCAATGCAAATCACACGCAAAGCCGCAGCCACCAATCGTCTGCAGGCTCGCCGCATAGACCACACCTGGACACTCGACGCAAGCACAGCTGATTGCACGCACACCTTGCCACTGCCATAAATAGACAGCCCAATTGCCATAGCTGCAGCCAATCGTCAGCAGGCCTGGCCGCAGCAACCAATCACACGCCCAGTCGCCGCTGCCAATCTCCTGCTGGCTGCTGCCAACAATCGCCCGTCCCCCTTCTGCTATCCATGTATAAGACGGCCCACAATTTCCCCCTATTACTTCTAAGGAAAAAATATCGTCTTATATAGGGGGAAATATGGTATATGTATGGAAGACATGGTGAAAGGATCCGTCTACATACCAGCTTCTATATATCAATTTTTGTTCCCTGTCCCATAATAATATTTATGTGTAATTAACTGAGATGATATTTGCAAAGTGCTTTGAATGCTTTCGAGTACTCCAGAAATGCTAAACAGCATTGTTATTTAGTGGCTTGGGTGTGATGGACCTGCTGCACGAAATTCAATATTTCTTCTTGTTTGCTTGGAAGTGCAGATATTTTAAGTCTTCCCCGAGTACAGAGATGGCTAGTTAGGCTACCCAAGCCAAGAGGCCTTGGGTCAATTTGCAGCGTACATTATGGGAAATCTATTTACCGGCGCGATCGTCTTCTGCGGACCTTTCCAAACGCACCCAGAGAAACGAGCTCCGTCGCAGTGCAACGCAGCCGCCGTCACCATTCCAGGAGTTCCCTTGGATCCCATCACGCTCCGAAGTTAAATAACAACAGCAATTACATAGCACTTTCCGTTCTCAAAGTCCTGTACAAACAGTAATTAAGCGCTGCAGCTGCATTTTAACAAGGCCTGGATAATTTCGTGACAGATAGCGGGGATTGGAAAGGCTGCGACGTGGGAGTTTCCTCACGCTGCTGGGTGAACCGCTGCAATGAGCTATTGAATCAGACTCCTCTTTCCCTTCAGAGAAACGGGAGCTTTTCCAGCAATAGGCCAGATCAGAAGCCACAGGGAAGTGGAGGAACAATTTTCAACGGGGACCGGGAGCGTTTAGCTATGTGCCTGGACTGCTCCCTTGCCCAGCTGTTTTGTACATGCCTATGTGCCCTCCCCTACTTCCCCAAGTCTTCAGTTCAGTTCTCCACATTTCCGTACCACAATATATATTTTTTAACTCCTTGTGAAAGTTCACCTGCATTCTAGCGGACATTTCCCGTAGCAGATGTACATTTCCTACATGGTTTAGCAAATAAATATCCCCATCTCTAATGTATAAGAAGAATCTATTGGATCACTCCAACGGCCCAGCACTGTTCGTAGAAGTTCGTAGAAGAACTCGGTCACATTCATAGAATTGTAGAGTCGGAAGGGACCGCAAGGGTCATCTAATCCAACCTCCCTTCTGCCCAACATTGGTCTCGAACCCAGGACCTTGAGATTAAGAGTCTCATCTCTACCGACTGAGCTATCCTGAGTTCTCACAGATGTCTCTGGGCCTGAGCACAAGACCACTCTCATCTCCTATGGATTCCAGCAAGCATTACTGACTTCGGCTAGGGAGGCAGAACATAATATCCATAGCTCGTAGGCATCGATAGCCCTCTCCTCCATGAATTTGTCTAATCGTCTTTCGAAGCCGTCCAAGCTGGTGGTCATCATTGCCTCCCATGGGAGTGAGTTCCCTAGTTTAAACTATGCACTGAATGAAGAAGTCCTTTTAAAAATCCGAACCGAAGCTTCCAAACCGGTGCACGAAGCAATGTAGATGCACAAAGTTTTGCTCCTGGGTAAAACGTCGGCTTTGCTCCGCTCTCCTAGGCAGCACACAGAGCTGGAGGATCTGCTCTGAATTTCTGACAAAGAGTTCTTTATTGACAAGGAATCCTCACAGGCCTACTGTGTATGAGACTCTGAAGATTGCTGTTGGAAATATTTTGTGTTTACCTTTCAACAGCCTATATATGGAGCAAAAGGGCTTGACTAAAGGCCTTCTCTTCTCCCCTGTATAATGGCATTTTTTGTGCCTGCTGTCCTGAATGCCTAGTGTGTGTGAGATTTCATAGAGAGCTTATGCCCTACCGTATTCTCAGAGCAAAAGCATGGCTGTCTTAGAGCAACACCTTCTGGAGGTGGAATGGTACTAAAAACAGCTGCACCGAGGTACTTAGCAGGCTTTGTCTCAGAGAAAAGGAGGGCCAAATTTACCCCACATTCCAGACTGCAACATTATGTTGCAGATCCCATTTCATCAGACAGGTTCTGCAAAATGGGTCCTTCGCTTCCTACATCACTTCCCATTTCTCTCTGTGTGTATCTAAATAACATTTGCATTTAAAGAGGTGCAAAGATCTGGAGTTTGATCCATCAGGAAGGCCACTTGAGGCGTTCTGAAAGCCACAGAAGGGCTCCTGACAGCTGCTCAGTTCAATGCTTGGGCACTTAACCAGCCAGAGAAGGTGGTGGAAGGCCAGGCAACAGCAGCTGTGGCCCTGCTCCCTGCACGCGTGTCATTTCTAGAGGAAACAAATTGTGCTTGAAAAGTTCAGTTCTACGGCGTGAGCTTAAATCATGTAGCGATAAGCTTTACATAGTGACATCCCTTTTCACAGCGCCAAGAAGTATGGAGAGGGTATCTCTGCACATCTTTAGTCATAGCTATGACCTTCCATAGGGACACGAGTGGTGCTGTGGGTTAAACCACAGAGTCTAGGACTTGCCGATCAGAAGGTCAGTGGTTCGAATCCCCGCGACGGGGTGAGCTCCCGTTGCTCGGTCCCTGCTCCTGCCAACCTAGCAGTTTGAAAGCACATCAAAGTGCAAGTAGATAAATAGGTACCGCTCCGGCGGGAAGGTAAACAGCGTTTCCGTGCGCTGCTCTGGTTCGCCAGAAGCGGCTTAGTCATGCTTGCCACATGACCCGGAACCTGTACGCCGGCTCCCTTGGCCAATAAAGCGAGATGAGTGCCGCAACCCCAGAGTCGGCCACGACTGGACCTAATGGTCAGGGGTCCTTTATGGCCTTCCATAAACATATATGTGCATATGAAATTGCCACGTATATTGGAACAACTCCCGTATGAGCAAAGGTTAGAACAACCTTCTTAGTTTCTAGAAACGGCTGTTCAGGGAGAAGTGGCATGACAGGCATGTATAAAATTATACTGAGTGAGGAGAAAGCAGATCGGGAAAAACTTTTCTCCCCCTCTCGTAATACCAGGGTCACCTAGTGAAGTTGAGGGGTATAGCAGACAAAACAAAGCACTTAAGCACACAGTGCACAGCTAAACTTTGGGATTCATTCTTCTGTGAGGTGTAAAACCCTAATTAAATGTTAGCTCTGCACCCCAATTGCTTTGGGGCTGGATTTGGGGCTGTGCATAGCTCTACCTATTACTGTCTCCAAGCAGTGGGTCTCCATCATGACAACTTCCATCTCGGTAGCGTTACAGCCCTAATAAATCTAAGGTTAGCAACCGGGAGAGGGCACTCTTTGTGGTACCCCAAGATACACAATTCCCTCCCCAGAAAGGTGTGCCTGGCACCTTCATTTCGCAGCTTTTGACACATGCCAAAGGCATGCCAATTTGCCCTGGCATATGACACCTGATGTGTAGGACTCCCAATTCTTAGAGTAGCTTAACCATCAGTCAGAGGCAGTTTTAGGGCAGTGTGACCAGTTTGGCTTCACTGGGTGCCATGCTGCAGTGGGCGCAAATGGTGAGAGACACCAAATTTTAGTACAGTGGTACCTTGGTTTACAGGGACACGGGTGGCGCTGTGGGTTAAACCACAGAGCCTAGGACTTGCCGATCAGAAGGTTGGCGGTTTGAATCCCTGCAACGGGGTGAGCTCCCGTTGTTCAGTACCTGCTCCTGCCAACCTAGCAGTTCGAAAGCACGTCAAAGTGCAAGTAGATAAATAGGTACCTCTCTGGCGGGAAGGTAAACGGAATTTCCGTTTGCTGCTCTGGTTCGCCAGAAGTGGCTTAGTCATGCTGGCCACATGACCCGGAAGCTGTACGCCGGCTCCCTCGGCCGATAAAGCGAGATGAGCGCCGCAACCCCAGAGTCGGCCACGACTGGACCTAATGGTCAGGGGTCCCTTTACCTTTACCTTTACCTTGGTTTACAGCCATAATCTGTTCCAGAGGTCAATTTGTAAACCGAAACAGGTTGAAACCCAAGGCACGCTTTTGCCAATGGGGCCTCCAAAAAAAAATTTGTTTGGAATAATAATAAAAAAGATTGTAATAATAATAATAAAAAAAAGGTTACAAACCGGGACACGCACTTCCGGCTTTGACGTGTTTGTAATCCAAAATGTATGCAAACCAAGACGTATGCAAACCAAGGTACCACTGTATTTGGTTCTTGCTTTCTTCCTTCTCTTTTGGCTTGCCCAGAGACCATCTAAAGTTGCCACTGCAGCCGTTTTTGAACAACAGTTTGTAATACCCAGACTCCGTTTTCCGGGGCTGGCTTTTGCTTTTAAAAGACTCACCGTGTGTTTGTACAGCAAACTCCTCCAGCTGGTTGAAATTACTTGCTTTCACTGAGGCTCTCCCTTGATCAGCCCTCTTCTATTGCTGGACCAACAAGAAACCCGTATTTATTGGCCCCCACATAATAATAATAATCCCAATGACCTGCTAGCAGTGGAAACGTGGGAGCTAAGCGCCATCTACTGTTTCGTTACAGAAACAGCTGCCAGTGGTTTGTGATCGCAACAGGGAGCTATTCACCCTCCCAGGCTAAGACTGGCCATGCAGGTTGGGGCTGATGGGAGTTGTAGTTCAATGCGCCTCACTAACTCAATAGGACTTACTTCTGGATATATGTGCATTTGTATGCTGAAAGGAAAAGACAGTGTGTCGGTGGAAATCAAGTGAGGCTTGCCTTGTGTTGACGGGAGACTAGGATTTGTTATCATTGCAGTGCAATTAGTATCTAAGACTCTCAACAACTTGGGATCGGTTTACCCACGTTGGGCATTGCAGGGGGTTGGATGAGATGATCCTTGTGGTCCTTTGCAACTCCATGATTCTATGATTCTACCTAAGAGATCGCCTTCCCCCGTACACACCAACCCAACCCCTTCAAACTGCAGAACTGGTACTGTTGCAGGTGCCATACAATAGCTGTTCCACCTCAGTCTTTCAGTATGGCAGCACTATGGAACTCCCTGCCTATTGATTTCAGGCAGGCTCATTCACTGTACTCTTTATGGCACCTCTTGTAAGCATCTTTGTTTAGACAAGCCTGCTCAGATGTTTAGAACACTAATACAAGTTGTCCTCTGTGTTTAGTTTCTTTGGAGTGGAATGAGGGCATGGGCCAGACCCCCTGTGCTAAAACTATTGTTTTAACAGGGGGTTGAGTTTTAACTTGGGTGGGTGTTGTTTCTGGGGGTGAGGCTGTTTAAAATTGTTTTTAAATGTTATATGTTCATTTGGATTTTTGTATTTGTGGGCTGGGGGATGGGTTATGAGCTTTTGTTGGAGAGTGCATTTTTTCTTAGTTCGTACTGTTAATTGTTTTAACTATTTTTATTATGTATTTTGTGCTTTCATATTGTGTCTTTGTGTTGTGAACTGTCCTGAGACTTATGGGTATAGGACGGTATGCAAATTTAATAATACTAATACCTTATGGTTGATTTTGATATATATTTTTTGAACATTTTAAATTACCACGGGGCAGGTAAGGGTAGAAGCTTAAAGCTCCCATTGTTCCTTAAATCTAGCAAGGTACCTCTTCCCAGGGATATCTGGGAATTATAGTTCCATGAGGGGAATAGGGCTGTCAAGGGTCCAAAAGCATAAATCAAATATTTGACCTTAGCACTGTGGAACTAGCAAAAGACTCATGGGCAAGCAATGCAGCTAAGAGCTCTTTTCTAGGAGCCCACATACAACGGTACCTCGGAAGTTGAACGTAATCCGTCCTGGAAGGACGTTTGACTTCCAAAACTTTTGATTTCCAAGGCGCGGCTTCTGATTGGCTCTTGCAATTGGAAAAGCCAATCAGAAGCTGCTTGTCTCCAACGCCGGATGTTCGGCTTCTGAAAAGCTTTCGAAAACCGGAACACTTACTTCATTCGGGAGCCAAAACCTTTGGCAACGGAGACGATAGAAAACCGAGGTTTGACTGTATTCACACATTTGCAGTGTCAAAGTTTGGATTTGTGTAATATGAAAACCAGGCCAATATGTCACTTGAAAGGGAAAAGGAAAATTTGCCAGGGCGAGTTTATATCTGCGGTAAAGAGCCACAAGTCATTGTGCCCACAGATATCTGTGTGGCTGCCATCCCATTGCTGTGGACAAGGCAAGCTTACAGTACGAGCAAGATGATTCAAGATCAGGAACTTTGGTATTTCTTCTGCAGCTCAAGTACAGGAAGTCAGATTAACCTACAGAAACTGGAGCAAGCACAGGCTACAAAGCTGAGTATAATGTGCCCTGATTGGACAAAGTT